GCAGACTGGTGTGAGAATTATACAAGGGTATATCAGTATAGTACCATACATATGGCGATTAGGTATAAAAGGTTTAACGCATTTATTATTGCCATGGAAGAAGCGTTGGGGAGGTATAGAAGGCTATAACGTATGGTACTATGAAGAGTGGTGGGGAGGTATAGAAGGCTATAGGGTATGGTACCATGCAGAGTGGTTGGAGGTATGGAAGGCTATAAGGTATGGTACAATGCAGAGCGGTGTGAGGTATAGAAGGCTATAAGGTATGGTACAACGCAGAGCGGTGTCAGGTATAGAAGGGTTATAACGTATGGTACCATGCAGAGCGGTTGAAGGTATAGAAGGCTTTAATGTATGGTACTATGCTGAGTGGTGGGAGGTATAGAAGGCTATAACGTATGGTGCCATGCAGAACGGTGGGAGAGGAGATAATGAAGGCTATAATGGGAGATATAGGGGCTACTATGGTACCATGCAAGCAGCGGTGGGAGATATAGACAGGAAGCTAGATATGGGTACCTTGTGAGAAGTAAGGTTTTAATGGTATGGTACCATGCAGAGCGGTGGAAGGTATAGAAGGCTATAACGTATGGTACCATGCAGAGTGGTGGAAGGTAGACAGACAGACAGACAGACAGACCGACAGACAGACAGACAGACAGACAGGGTTTATTTATATGTGGGCCATGAGGCCAATAGTACAAAATGACAACTTAGATTAAATTTTTGCAGAGCGCATGGACATGATTTTGTTTACAAAAATTGCTTGACGGAGTATTATGTTATGGTTCTGGATGTATTTAGAAGATGTACAAATTTTATTTATTTGGGTTCATAATATAGATACTTGGTATCTAGTGAGTTCTTACCGCTGCATATAAAAGGACATTTCATTAACACATGATACTCATCTTCTGGTACATTTTACAATAATCGCACATAGCTACACTAATGTCATTGTCTTTAGATCTTCTGTACGAAACTATTTTCAAATTGGTGGAGCCGCATCTGAATTTTGTTAAGACTCTGCGCAGATGTAACGAAGAGAGTACGGTCAAATACAATTCAGGAACAATATCAGATTTAAAGGCAGAATAAATATGTAATGATTTTGAGTGTCTTATATCTTGTGTCCATTCTTTATAGTAAATATCTTTACAACGTTGTTTGAAAAGATTTAAAACAATTCAGAGTTTCCCACATTTTGATATATCCATACATAAGCAAATCCATGTTGAAATAATATTGATCTTACTGCTGAAGCCCAGTTAATATCTCCATTGTCGTCTAAACGTTTCAGCATATCATACGAGCGACGTGGGTAACGTGTGTCTGGTTGCCGAAGCAGACGTATCCAGAACGAAACAACTCGTGTCATATAATTTACATGTAAAGGGTATCTACCGCATTCTGCCTTGTTCGATGTGCGATAGCCAACGTTTAAAACGTTTTTACATAATTTTGAATGTACTTTTTCTATTCCATGGCGGATAACAGTTCCCCAAATTTCTGCCCATATAATAATATAGGTTGTATTTTACAGTCAAAGATTTTGAAAAATATATCGAACGGAATTGTTTTATATCTGTACATACAATTTCTTAATAGGAAATAATGCTTTCTCTGCTTGCTTACACAAAACACCACAAGCTTTTGTGAATACATTTCTACAAGATAACGTTAATCCCAGATACTTATAATAGGAGACAGTTTCTAGTTTCTCTGTTCCAATTGACCATTTTCTCTTTCTGCTAATCTACCACCTTTTAAAAAACTATGACCTTTGTTTTATTTGTATTTATTGACAATCCCCATTTCGTACAATACTGTTCTAAGATATCTATCTTTTTCTGTAGGTTCACAACGCTGTTCCAAATATAGCGACATCGTCCGCAAACAGAAGAATTGACAGTGCATTTATAGTCTCATCAATAAAAGCGCCACTATAGTCGCTGTTTATGATGTCGTTAACTAGTTCATCAATGTACATATTAAATAGGACTGGAGATAAGATACAACCTTGTCGTACTCCAGTCGCTGGGTTAAATATTTCAGTCATACTGTGCTTCGTACATCTAAGAGCTGCTCTTGCATGAGTATACATTGAACGTAAAACAGTGCTAATTTTACCATGTAGACCATTGTTGAGAAGTATATATAGGAGCTTGTTTCTGTCAACGGTATCAAAAGCTTTTTAAAATCAACAAAAATACAGTAAAATTTTCCACGTTTTTTCCTTATGTACTTGTGGATAATCGAATTTAGAACAAATATTTGGTCAATAGTACTGTAGTCTTCTCTAAACCCTGCTTGCGACTCGGAAATGATATCCTGTGTTGAAGCCCAAAGTTTTATACGTGTATCTAGAATACTTGTGAATACTTTGCTAATTATATCAAGTAGAGCAATACCCCTGTAGTTATTGGGATCCTCTCTATCCCCAGCTTTATATAACGGAACGATAAGACCAAGGTTCCAAGAGTCTGGAAAATTACCAGTGTTGAAAATCTCGTTGAAAAGACTTTGGTAGAAAGGTAATAATATCAAACAAGTTTCCTTAATTGCCTCCGTCGGAATACCATCAGCCCCAGGAGATTTACCATTTTTCAGATTCTTAACTGCATTCAAGATTTCATCATTTGAGATCTCGTCACCCAAGATATCGTCACAGTCTCTACATTGTTCACAATTAACAACATCATGGTTTTCAAGAAATGTTCGTACATGTATATCAAACTGTGTGCAATCTGTTTGAGGGTCAAAGAGGTTACTAAAGTGCTTGTAGCAGTTATCTGGAGTGATGTTTGTATGTGTGCTGGCAGTGTTACAGTACTTTTGATTGACTTCCAGAACTCTTTGCATGATTTACCTTTTGCTGCGTTTACAATTTCCTCCGCTATATTCAATATATAACAAGTTTTATGGATAACAACTTCTTTATTTTCGTGAGTGCGACGTTTCGATACAGATTCTTGTACCGTTGTCAAGCAAGAGTGATACATGAAGTGTAGGAGCTGCATATATATACTGTATATAACAATGAAACAACATAATAGACAAAGGAAACAACATAATTGCCATGATTGGCTAAGCAGTAAGCTGATGAAGCCAGTAAGTACATAAAGGATAGTGAATGGAAGCCAGAGATGTAGTTACAATGAGATGTTTATACAATGGATGCGATGTTTATACAATAGACTGGGCTTGGTGGAGGAGTGGATCATAAGCAGATGGAAATGAAGTATCCTTGGTCACGGTTGATGGTAGGCTTGTGGCGTTTGATGTGAATGGCTTCTGTGAGCTTGCGTTTAGTGAAGTCCGTTTGGTTGCTGGCGAGAATGGTGATGTCGGACCACTCTATTTGATGATTGGGGTTGGCTTTGATGTGTTTCTGATTATTTTGGCGATACCTTGGCACATAGTCCCGACACACAATGTCCTCAGGCCAGAAATATTCGTCATTGATCATGACGTCATAATCATTTAGTGGCAGGTTAACTTGTACAGTATATGTTTCTGATTTATCGAAGCGTGTCCGTTTCTTCATGAGGCGGACATACGTTACACGGACGTGACGTTCTTGGACATAGTGGGATATGACGCTCTTCAGTTCCTCAAAGGACTTGTCTACCTTGATGTTAGACAGAACAATCCGCTTCGTTCGAATATGCGACACACCTTCCAGAGTGTTATAGGATTTTGCTGAGAGATCGTATGGGATAGCCTTTGTTTTGTGGATTACTCACGATATTCCGTTGGATAGATTCCTTCCTTGATCCACGCGTGTCGTACTTGGTGGTCTCATTACAATCTCCATTAAATTCAAGGCCATGGGAATTCTCTGTGTATAGTTCCCATATATATTATATAAGTTGTGATTGCATGATGTCTGACTCTGAGCTTGACTTCTTGCGTCATTGCTGGAAGTTGTGATTGCATCATGTTTGGTTCTGAGCTCCATTTCTTGTATGGTATAGTATCATTACTGGAAGTTGTGACTGCATGATATCTGGCTCTGAGCTTGACATCTTGTATCATTGCTCGAAGCTGTGACTGCATGATATCTGGCTCTGAGCTTGACATCTTGTATCATTACTGGAAGTTGTGACTGGAAGATGTCTGGCTCTGAGCTTGACATCTTGTATCATTACTGGAAGTTGTGATTGCAAGATGTTTGGCTCTGAGCTTGACTTTTGTATTATTACTGGAAGCTGTGATTGCATGATGTCTATGATGTATAATAACAATACCCGACGAAAGCATCCTGTCCGATTAATGTAGACCAAGGAAGTTTCCTATGATTGAACGTTTTATTAATTTCTATTAAAGAGATCCACGACTGTATGCCAGTGTCCTCGGTCATCCTAATTGTCTGACGTGTGGATAAAGTTTTAACGGGATGTTTAATCCTTTGATATAAAAAGAAATGTCAATGGATTCGTTTTGTTTATGTTTGTTCCACCTTAGACAGTGAGTGAGTTTAGTTTTACGCCGCACTCACAAATATTTCAGCTATATGGCGGCAGTCAGTAAAAGATCGAGTCTGGACCAGACAATCCAGTGATCAACAGCATGAGCATCGATCTACGCAACTGGGATACGATGACATATGTCAACCAGGTCAGCGAGAGCTGACCACCCGATCCCTTTAGTTTTCCTCTCTTACCAGCGGGGCGGTGGGGTAGCCTAGTGGCTCGACACGCCATAGACCCGGGTTCGAATCCCCACATGGGTATAATGTGTGAAGCCCATTTCTGGTGTCCCCGCCGTGATGTTGCTGGAATATTGCTAAAAGCGGCGTAAAACCAAACTCAGTCAGTCAGTCAGTCCTCTTACCAGCATGGCCACAGAAAAATCTGTATTAGACATTTCTTCTTTCTGTAACCCTCACATGTGGGCAATATCCAATTTTCTTTCATGAACGTTAGGAAAGGGATATGACAAAACTTACCGGCTGCTGTTTGGTTTATTTCCAGAAATTACAACTCTGAACGGGAAAGATGTCACGTAAGGGAAGAGATTTCATGTCGGACTTTGTATCGGAATTAATGGACAAGACTGTGGAAGAAGAAGATTTGATTAAATCTTTAAGTCAGAATTTGGGGAAGAACAAAGAAAAGACTAAGAACAGAGACAGACTAACCAGCTACAGATTTAATGGTAGGGAGAAGAAAAGCATAAAAGACTACAAGAGTCAGATTCCGAGAGTCTGTGCTTCATATTGCCGTCAGCTGTCAGAGGAATGAAGTTGCCAAGAAATTATTTAAAATGTGATCCAGGTTTTATCAACTGTGATAGAAAGGATGAGGACTATCGTGGACAGACGCCTTTTCACATTGCCATAGCCATGGCCAATCCTTACACGGGTGATGGGCAAGATCTAGTGGAAGCCATGATTGACACACTTGAACGTAATGATATGCTCCGAGAGACGATGGAATGTAGAGTTTCCGGAAAGAAATTAAGAGGTACTATTATGTTAGGAGGGACGCCTTTGTCCATTGCTGCTTTGGATAATAATGCAACTGTAGTTGACCTTCTTCTTGGAAAAAAGGCTAATCTAATTGACACGGACAGTTGTGGGAATACAGTTTTTCACTCGATGGTCCTGTACGCATCTTTCCACCCAGAAAAAGTGCCTGATATTCTGAGTATGTTTGACAAGTTGGCAAAACACGATCAATCGAAGTACAGACAAAATGTACAACGAGAAAATGCCCGAAAACAAACTGCACTCCATCTTGCTGCTGAACTGGGTCTGGACAACGTGTTTAGTCACATCCTTGAACTGAAGGATGCATACAAGTTCTTCTTTAGTCATGACGGTGTTTTTGAGATCTACGAATGTGATATAACAGAGCTTGATAAGGCAACCTGGGATAGAGCCGTTCTGCAGAAGTCACCCTGACAACAAGAACACAGAACACAGAGCTGAAGGATTGTCTGAAGGCAAGCAGGACACATGGATTGTAAGCTATTGCAAGAATCGGGGACAAAATAAGAACCAGAGTATTTTGGAAAACATTTGCAGTTTAAAGTCAACCACGGCCTGTGCGTTTCTGAACAACTACACAGTCCGAGAAGTTTTGTTCCTGAAGTGGCAGCGGTTCTCCCGCGTCTACTACCCTTTCCTCGTTCTTCACCTGGCACTTATGAGCATCCTAACCTGGCATTTGGATCTGAAAGTTGACGCCATCATGAATCCAGACACGGCACAGAAACAAACCTTGGTGGGTTTGAGTATCTTCTCAATCGTCATAAGTCTCCTCTATATAATTCTTGAGTTCCACAGGAGTTGTATTTCTTGGCAACCCTTCCATCTAACAAAACTGCATCACAATGGAGTGTACCGATGCATTTTGTGCTATTTGGTTTTGCATTACTGATAGACGCGTCGTGGAATGTTGGAACTGTTACAAACAATTATTGTCTGGTAATAGCATTGATCCTTGGTTGGTGGTCAACAACCTTCTTCCTGCGTGGAATCAAGCCTTTGAGCTACATAACACTGATGTTACAAAAGGTCCTCTTTGGAGATATGGTAAAATTTATACCAATCATTTTAATAATGATAGTGGGATTTACAAGCGCATTGCACAGCTCGTTTGCGGAAACTCGTCCTGAGATGTTTGGTAACTTCTCTGTCAGCCTACTAACCACGTTCAGTCTGATGACTGGTCAAGGACAGTTAGAACAACTTGAAGAATCGAGCAAAGGGATCTGTCGTTGTTTTTGCTGTTTCGGTGATAGTCATCCAGATATTTCTCCTCAACATCCTCATCGCCATTATGTCCACCACATGCGAAAGTGTCGAGAATTCAAACAAGCTCTTGTGGCTTCAGAGATTGTCCATTGTCATATTCATTGAAGGGATATTACCAAAATGGCTGGAAGCCACCCATGGGGAGAGAGGGTAAGACAGATTATGGCAGTACCAGATATCTTCTCGAAATTGACCGCTTAAGAGATGAAGACTCCAATTACAACAATACCTTTGAGCAGAATGGCAATGCAAATATTACAGCAAAACTGCGCAACCTCCTGAACCAATCCAAAGTAGGGGAGATAACAACACGCCCTGACGACGGAGCGCCCCCTGTCCAGTATCTGGACATTGATATCTATGGAACGACTAAATGAACAAATAAATATAAAGGAACAGTATTGTAAACATCGTTCTGAAAAGTCACTAGCAAAGTCAAAATCAGTATCTGTGGGGAAAACCTTGATATGGCTGAACACATGCTCTGTCGGATCGTCGTCAAATAGAAGTTCTCCCAGCGATCGCGTACAGTTATTTGACTCTTACACATTCAATGTTCTGAGCCTATTACAATCTGATTGATTCCATATGTAGTATCATGGTTCTAGACCTATCATTTGTTTAGACATTTGAATCTCATTTTGCAAGTTATTTGTGAAAACGCCATGAGACATATGTTGTACTTCAGTATATTTACTTCACTAGATTCATAATGATTTCATTTAAATAATAAAACCTATGGTGGTTTCTTCAACTTAGAGTTTGAACCGGAAATTACCAATATTTGTATACTCTCCCAAAATGAAACGCATCATGAAAATAGCAATATCATGTAGCAATGAATTAAAACCTGATTCATTTTACAAAAGGTTTTGCTCTGTTTATGAGTCCTATGGTGTTGAGGTTTTGAATCCTCACAACAAAACTCACCATCCGTAAAATACCCGTATTTAACAGCATGATTCTCAATTTCGGCTCGTAGTGTCACAGAATACGCATGTGAAATGCATGTGAATGCATGTGAAAGTTGGGGATCAGATAGTCTCAATGATGGGTAGAAAGGGTTGATCGCTGTCTGTGGATTATTCACTGTATTCGAATATTGTTGACGAACGCAAAACGCCACGTTTAAGTGAAGCCATCCGTCATATCGCCATTGGTTTGCTTGAAGCGGGCCAGTCTCAACGTGCAGTTGCCTGACGCATAAATGTTCACCAAAGCACCATTTCACGGCTCTGGGAGATATCGCCGGCAGAATGCGATAGCAGATGCCCCTCGTAATGGGCGACATCGAGCGACCACTGCGGCGCAGGATCGCTACATCCGGGTACATCACCTGCGTCATCGAACAGCTACGGCGACCAGTACCGCTCGACAAATAGGAGGCTTTCTGCACAGACCGTTAGGAACAGGTTGAGAGAGGCTGGTTTACGTGCCAGAAGACCTTATTTTGGCCCTGTGCTTCGACAACATCGTCGACATCGAGTTCAATGGTGCACCAACGTTCAGGCCTGAACCTACCGAATGGGCGTAGAATCTGGTTCAGTGATGAATCACGATTTCTATTGGAACGACGCAATGCGGGTGTACAGACGTCGACGTGAACGTTTCGCCGACGCTTGCATTCCCAGGTGAACAGATTCGGCCGTGACAGTGTTATGATGTGGGAACGATCACCTGCCGTAGGAGAAGTGATTTGTTGATGGTCCAGGGCAACCCTGACAGCTCAACGGTACTGTGACGAAATCCTACGCCCACACCTCCTTCCAATCATTGATCGCCAGAGGGAGTTGTTTCAACAGGACAATGCCAGGCCCCACACAGCACGTCATACTAGAGACTTCCTCCAGAACCACAACATCAATGTGCTCCCCTGGCCCTCAAGATCACCGGACTTAAACCTGATCGAACATCTGTGGGATGCCCTGGACAGACGGGTGCAACGCCGTAACCCTCAGCCCCAGACACTTCAGCAACTCGCACAGGCACTAGGCAGGCAGAGTGGGCTGCGATTGGGCAACACGAGATTCTGAGACTTATTCGTTCGATGCCGAGGCAATGCCGTGCAGTTCTGGATGCCCACGGTGGTCACACGAGGTATTGACTTCAGCGCCACCACACGTCTCCATGTGACACTCAAACTGACTTTCCTCGAGTTGGTGCCAAAGACGGATAAGTCTGCATTCCCAGTGTGAAATTTCGCTGTATTTCATTGACTCATAAAGCCTACAAGATAATTCAAAATTTACATAAAAATACAGTTGGAAATTACTATATGAGTTTCTTTTTTTTGGGAGAGTATATATATTTGAAACAAGGGATCACAAACCATTACGCCTTCACTGTCAAATACTATATACTTATAAATACAGTGTTTTGCTAATACTTTAGGTTTTATATTCTTCTGTGGGCACAATGTGTGAAGCCCATTTCTGGTGTCCCCGCCGTGATGTTGCTGGAATATTGTTAAAAGCGGCGTAAAACCAAACTCAGTCAGTTATATTCTTATGCAGTTGAAAGAACTGAGTTATGACAATTATCACAATTATTATTGTCACTTTGGTGTTGGTTTGTACTATGCCATTTCAAAATGAATATATGTACACAAAGAATTTAATGAAGCACACCCTGTTTTTGCAATGAAAGGTTTTCAACACGTACATAAAACCTCTCGTGGTGACCCGTATAATCCTTTGACTCATTAAAACGACAACATGACTGGAATCCATGTTGATTTATGATAAAAATTGCTCATTTAAAAAAAAAAAAAAACCCACTGATTTTCATACAAAACCAGATCTCTACAAGAACGGCATTGGAATGCTTAATGTTGAATTTATTAGTGAATGTGAACATTCAAAATATTATTGTGCATGTCTTACACGATTCAAGGTCAGTAGTAACCTCCATTAGACTGTATGACAGCCTGCACTCTCCTCATAACCCTATGTCCAGCCTCCTGGTCCCTCTGAAGGGGCAGTCTACGCCATTCCCTAGTGTAAAGCAGCTTCCAGCTGGGCCAGGTTATGTACAGGATGATCCCTTCAGCTTTCTTGCACACGACGACCAATCATGTCCCAGATATGCTCCAAAGGGTTAAGATCGGGGCTCATTCAATCGTGAGATATCTCAAGGGGTGCTTAACTAAGTTCTTTCTGTATATATTATCGATAACAGCTGTAACTTCCTTGATTCCTGTAAATATGTATTTAATATCTCCTGCCTGGTCAGGTCACAAGCTCCAGTTCTGGGACTTTTCTGCCGTGTGTGGCTAGCAATAGTTCAAGTGGACAAAGCTGTGTTGAAGATACAGAAGGCTTCATTCTTTCGGGAAGAGACAAGGACACAGTGATCAGAATGCACTTAAAACTGTGATGGAATGTGGCTCCTTTGGACGTATTTCACATTTTGGAAACACAAGGACAAATTTCTCACAGTGATTGTTGCAGAGATCGGTATTGAATGAAAGTTGTCGCCATAGTGTTGACGCCTGTGGACTTTATATGACTTGTGAGCTATGTGCAAGTTCACGATGGGTATACTTTCTCCATGTAATGTTTGTACGTGAAACTTCGTTCATCGTTATGCTTGTAATGTGGTTAAGAAATCAAATATTTTTGAAAGACGTGGAATATGTTTTCAGTGTTATGGAATACGATACGATGATGTTTTCTTTTTAGATAGCTCCCAAGTGACTACATAATTGTTGATGATGCGAGGATGTTGGAAGAAGGGAAGGTGGAAGAGAGTTGTAGGGAGGGAAGAAAGGAAGGTGGAAGAGAGTTGTAGGGAGGGAAGAAAGGAAGGTGGAAGAGAGTTGTAGGGAGGGAAGAAAGGAAGGTGGAAGAGAGTTGTGGGGAGGGAAGAAAGGAAGGTGTAAGAGGAGCTGTAGGGAGAGAAGAGAAGAGGAAAGTGGAAGAGAGTTTGTAGGGAGGGGAAGAAAGGAAGGTGGAAGAGAGGTTGTAGGGAGGGAAGAAAGGAAGGTGGAGAGACAGTTGTAGGGAGGGAAGAAAGGAAGGTGGAAGACAGTTGTAGGGAGGAAGAAAGGAAGGTGGAAGAGGTAAGTGAGTTGTAAGGAGGGAGGGAAGAAAGGAAGGTGGAAGAGAGTTGTAGGGAGGGAAGAAGAAAAGGAAGGTGGAAGGGAGTTGTAGGGAGGGAAGAAAGCTGAGAGGTGGAAGAGGAGTTGGAGGAGGGGAAGAGATGGGAAGGGAAGGTGGAAGAGAGTTGTAGGGAGGAAAGAAAGTGGAGGAGAAGAGAGAGTTGTAGGGAGGGAAGAAAGGAAGGAGAGGTTGCTTAGGGAGAAAGGAAAGGTGGAAGAGAGAGGTTGGTAGGAGGAGGAAAGAGAGCCAGAGGAAGGAGTTGTGGAAGAGAAAGGAGGAAGGTGGAGAGGAGAGAAGAAAGGAAAGTGGAAGAGAGTCAGGAGAAGGAAAGGAAGGTGGAAGAGAGTTGTAGGGAGAGAAGAAAGGAAGGTGGAAGACAGCCTGTAGGGAGAGCCAAGAAAAGGAAAGGTGGAAGAGAGTTGTAGGGAGGGAAGAAAGGAAGGTGGAAGAGAGCTGTAGGGAGGAAGAGCTGTGGAAGGAAGGAAGGAACAACGGAAGGAAGGACACCAACAGCCGATAATGTGTAGATAATCACGAATGGCCCAGAAACACACAGGACACGAGAATGGACCGAGACACACGGAGGAAGAGACAGAACAAGGAAGAGACACACACCACACACACGGAGGAACAACTGAGCACGCACACAGACACAGGACAGGAAATCAACCCAGGACACACGGACACATGGAACACAGAACACCAGGAATGGAACAACCCAGAAGACACAGGAACACAAGACACACGGAGGAAACGACCAGGAAGGAACACACAGGGCCGAGTGAGGCACAAGGAAATATAAGGAAGGAGCACTGAGACACAGGCATGTAGAATCACAGAAGAACGTGGACAGACACACACACATGACAGTGGATGGCCACACACACAACCAACGTTAAAACTATACTACTATACTAACTAAACTATACATTCCCTCACTGAGATACTCAACAAACATTATACTTACCCCGAGCCGACTAGTCTTCTAGTTCTAGGCAAGGCAACGACAAGTGCCATCGTTAAACATCTTTGGTGTGACACCTACGGGGATTCGAACAACCTTCCTAGTGGTGTACTTGGTATCTAGATACAATGGAACCCCAATGACCCGTACTCTTAATGAACAATAATGACAGAAGAAGGCATTGCGACTGTTCAGAGCAAACAGGCGTTTCACCTCTCGAAACTGTTTCTTTCTAAAGGCATTGGTTGCCCAGGAATATCTAACTGAAAATATTCCTCGCTGGCAAGGGTTCGCGTCATCGTTGTCACTGTGACGTAAACCCTGCATCAACGAGGATGGGTGCACCGGTCATGTTGCAAGCTGAAGAAGAGCAGAGGAACTCCACTAGACCACATATCTGAAAGAAAACCCGGCGATCTATCAACTCAAGACTACAGCTTCAAAACGGCAAAACTCAACTAAGTGGTACTCATATCCAATGTGGGCGGTGGGGCAGCCTTGTGGTTAAAGCGTTGGCTTGTCACGCCTAAAGCCAGGTTCGATTCCCCACTTGGATACAATGTGCGAAGCCCATGTCTGGCGTTCCCCGCCGTGATATTGCTGGAATATTGCTGAAAGCGACGTAAAACCACACTCACTCACTTAATTCCAGTGCAGGCCTAGACATTCAATAAAACCACTGTGTCCCGTTGGGTCCGGGTTCGATCCCCAGCACCCTATATTGCTTGGTATAAGTGGTGCCACTACTGAATCAGGGGTCGGGGGTTGTGACTCGCCTGATAGCGCGTCATCGCGCCCAAACCACAGTGACGCTGCTCATAACATCAACCACTGGTTTGTCTGCCCAATGGCAAGCATGGGATGTTGCAGTTCTACATCCACGAGGCACTTCACAGGGTAGATGCCGTATGGGCATTCAAGTCGTGATACCCGTGAAGATCCGGGTTAGGATTGATCTTCAGTAACCCATGCTTGTCGTAAGAGCCGACGGATCGGGTAGGTCAGGGTCGCTGACACACATGTCATCGTACTCCAGATCGATGCTCATGATATTGATCACTGGATTGTCAGGTCCAGACACGATTATTTACAACCCGCCGCCATATAGCTGGAAAATAATGATGAGTGCGGCGTAAAACTAAACTCACTTTAAGTCGTGATATTACTTAGGACTTAACAAGCTGAAACTGAAAAGATGTCACTCAATGTCATCTTAATGTCATTGTTAGTGTCATTGTATAAACAAAATACATGGAACTTTTAAATAATTTGTGAAAACAGGTGTAAGGAATTATCTCCCCTTACACTGAAGTTGTAAGGTGATACAAATAAAGCCTGGTTAAGTTGTCCCCCTTGACTGTTGTTATATCATTATCACAACTTGAAATAATGAATGAGTGAGTTTTAGCTTTACGCTGCTTTAACCAATATTCCAGCAATATTACGGCGGGGACACCAGAAATGGGCTTCACCCATTGTGCCCATGTGGGAATTGAACCCGGTTCTTGGGCGAAGGCTAAGATCGGAAAAGCAGAGGCAAGATCGTGATCTTGAACATAGACATAGTCGAGGCCAGTAACATAATACACCGTGTGGAGATATGATCAGTAAACAGACGTACCTCATTAATTTCCACCGGTTTCTTGGTTGGGTTGTTCTTCTCTACAAATACTTGCTGAAATGGTAACGTAGATCTGTTTACAATCTTAGTTGTTATAATATATAGGAAATACCTACAGAGAGAGGAGAGAGAGGGTGGAGAGAGAAAGACGGGAGAGGGGACAGAGAGGGAGAGAGAGTGGGAGAGAGAGGGAGAGAGAGGGAGAGAGGGGACAGAGAGAGAGAGGAGGAGAGAGGGAGAGGGAGAGAGAGGAGAGAGAGGGAGAGAGAGAGAGAGATAGAGAGATACAGGGGAGAAAGAGGGGAGGGAGAGGAGAGAGAGATAGAGGGATGGAGGAGAGAGAGAAAGAGTCATGCAGCAAAGCTCCTTTGCTGGCGACATTTTAAGACATACCATTGCTTCGTCAAACGTTAGATTATTCTTGTTAGCGTAATCCCTTATCAGCCCGTGGCTCACTGAAACAAAACAAACATGCATCTAATCAAAGCTATACCATTAAACAGAATTGACATGACGTCTACCGTCCATGCTCAGAACCTGTGAACAACCGGGTTACAATTGGTCTTCAGTAACCCATGCTGACTTAGTTGACACATGTCATTGAATCCCAATTGCGTAGATCGATGCTCATGCCACTGATCACTGGTTTGTCTGGTCCAGACTCAATTATTTACAGACCATAGCTATATAGCTGGAATATTGGTGAGTGCGGCGTTAAACAACAAACCAGCCCTGACTTAATTCTCGACTATAGTGCTATTCTGTAGCTCCAGCTGATGACTGAGTGAGCGAGTTAGCAATATTCAAGCAGTATCACGGCAGAGGACATCAGAAATGGGCTCCACACATCGTACCCATGTAGGGAATCGAACCCGGCGTGACGAACGAACGCTTTAATTAGTAGGCCCTGCGCCCTGTTTGCGGTGAGAGTCGGGTTGATGGTACATGTATTCGGGTGTTCGGCGTGGCTTCAACCACTGAACTATCTCACCGCCCAACCACTGGACTACCTCACCGCCTACAGCTCCAGATGTACGTCCAACGAAAAATATTTCACTCCTTGATACAATAATAACACAGATTAAGGCTGTGCAATATAACCGGTTTACCGGTATTTACCGGTTCAGTCATGAAAACGATACGTATTGCGATACGTTGATTGAAAACCGGTATTTTGACATGCATTAGGAAATCTTAGTAACACTCCGAAATCTTCTGATATTTCCGTTTTTCACACCGGAAGTCATACGATTGTTGTAAAATGGTGACACCCAACAACGAACAAATACTAGGACAAAGGTGTAAGCATGGCAGCATTTTGGGTTGAAAATGTTCACGGTTTTTATTTTGTCATGATTAAAAGTTGTTATTAAAGCTTAATCAAGCATTGTGAATTTGTTGTGGTTTTGCTTTATAATAAAGCATTAACTCGATTATGAGTCATTTTTTGTTAAAAGAAACTTCATGCAATATATTGCAATACATATCGCAATATATTATTTCGCATCGCAATAGATCGCAATATGAAAATTCTCTGCAATACTCACCCCTAATACTGATCCAGGTTAAATCCCCCAAATGACAGGGAGTTATAATCCTATATCTGGTGAGTGAGTGAGTTAAGTTTTACGCCGCTTTTAGCAATATTCCAGCAATATCACGGCGGGGGACACCAGAAATGCCTTTATCTGGTTTAAGGCACTGGATCAGAAATACATTACATCATCATCACTATTACTTACTTGGCGCGTTGGCAAAGCCAGGACAGATGGCGTTGCATGTAATTCCATAAGGAGCTGCCTCCAGAGCTACGCACTATTAACACAGTCAGTATATATGGGTGAGAGGGATGGTGTTTATAACCACTTGTTAAGTAATTTGGTTGCAGAATTGGTTTGACGTTGGTAATTGAAGATGGTAAGTTATTCTCGCCCCTTTTAAACCATATAAACGTTACATTTGTATTGTAATGCTTCCTATCTGTTGCGCAACGCTATTAACATTTTTTTTTGTATATAGATCTTCGTGTGACAATATCATGAAGCTTTTGCGGACGGACTTTTAACACCTTAATAATTGACTACATCATATTCATGTGCATTAAATCAAGAACAAATTATCTGAACTTTTCTGCTGGCTAGTCGGGATAGCTTTAACAATATGTTGCTGGCCCGATTCACAATCAGCTAGCATTTGGCATTTCCTTAAGTGGCATTTAGAAGCTGGTATGATGAAGTGGAACACTTTTTATGGATAGACAACGTCTTTGTTGCAGTAGTAGTTGCGACGTTTCGGTGTAGATCCTAACACAGTCATCAACATCAAACGACTCAACCCGGCAATCAACAGAGATCAAGGTTATTACATCCCCACGGCTTACGATCAACTAATCAAGCCTAATCAAGAATAACCCACCCTTTGTCTACTGGCACAACAAGTCTCATGTCAACACACCGTACATCAACCTCTTCTATTGTATAAACCAATACCCGCCATGTATATATTTCTCCTTGTGCAAATGTTGTGTATCATTTGCTTGATAACGGTGTCAGGATCTACACCGAAACGTCGCAACTACTACTGCAACAGAGAAGTTGTCTATCCATAAAAAGTGTTCCACTTTAGCATTTGGCAGCTATTTCGAACGCTGATCAGGGGTAAGGCACAAACTGACAAGTCGTCGTAGACACAGTTTGGTGAAAGTCGCAGGCACAAGATAAAATGTTGCTCGTGGACATAATCCTCACCCGCCCTCAAACTTGTACACTAACCACTTGGGGGAGTGAGTGAGTTTAGTTTTACGCCGCTTTTACCAATACTCAAGCAATATCACGGCTGGGGACACGAGAAATGGGCTTCGCACATTGTACCCATGTGGTCAATCAGGTCTTCGGCGTGATGAGCGAACGCTTTAACCACTAGGCTACACCACCGACCTTTTTTATCTTCAGAAAGACAACGGGTAACGAATGATTATATAAAAAAAGTTTTGAAAAACAAAGCACCACAAAGCCTTGAGTGTAATGTCATGCAAACGTGGTAGCGAATTTTCAGTTCAATTTCTAATTACAAATCGGTGATAAGGTGATCACAAAACACGGAAATACCCGAGAAAGACCGATTAGTCCCGATCTCGAGGCGCAGTACGCCGAGCGACCAGCCAGACTGATGACCCCCATCTGTGACGACATGTTGATGATGCGTCCCCAACCTGCAACATCACGGGAACGATAACTGATATATATATTGCAAAAACCCAAACATCTTTTGTTGAATCTACATACAGAAATGTCCAGTTACCCCAGACTTGACCCCTTTGGGTGGATATCAATCGCACAGGTCTGGACGAATCGGAAGCGACAGTGAATCAATGTCGTAACCAATCCCTCTTACGCATGCGCAGTACAATTAAAAGTACAAGATTTTTGTGAACGTTCAGCTTAAAGAACCCTAGAGCCAAATTATAATGTTGAACTAAAGTGAGTTGAGTCAGCGATATTCCAGCAACATGGCGGCGGTATGTAAATAATCGAGTCTGGTCCAGACAATCCAGTCATCCACAGCATGAGAATCAATCTGCGCAGTTGGGAGTCGGCTCTTGACAAGCATTGGTTGCCGAAGATCAATTCTAACCAAGTAGTTATATAATGATGGTTCTATTACAGGGTACATTATAGGCTTATTTCTACGTAATTCCGCTCCCAGCGCCTAGTCATTTTCGAGCAGAGACATCATTCGATGTATAGCCGTGTTCGCTAGCCTAGCCTATACTTAGTCAAAAAGAAACTTCACATTTTTCTTCAGGGCACTTTTAAAGAACAAGAGATGATAAGATGGTTAAATTGTTATTATTTCATTGCTGATATCTGTGTGATATACTCGATACACTGACAGTGCCAGAATCAGTTTCATTAGGCTACACCGCCGTTCCAAAACATTGGTATACAGAATGTCAAGTCACAAGAATAAAAATGCGAAATTTCTCAGTTCAATATCGTATGGCCGCACCGCGCATTCACCACTGCCAAACACCGTCTCCTCATCGACTGCCTGATGCTTGTGAACACGCGGTTGGGAATTCTGCGCCATTGCTCTTCAAGGCAGCGCCAAGTTCCTGCAAATTCTGAGGTTGGTTCCTTAGACCACGAAGCCTTCACCCAAGTGCATCCCAAACGTGCTCTATTGGATTAAGGTCAGGGGACCTCGATGGCCAGTCCATGACGTTGATTCCAGCGTTTTGAAGGAAATTTCGTGTCAACATCGCGGTATGCGGCCGAGCATTATCATGCTGGAACTGTAGACCTGGGCCAGGAGCGGCCATGAAAGGAACAAGTTCAGGAATGAGCACGGTAAGCAGCAGCTGTGAGGTTTCCACGGATGACCAGAAGTCGGGAACGGTTGTTCCCACAGAAAGCACCCCACACCATTCAACTTTCGCCCCCGAATCTGTCGACTTCCTGTACACAACATTGGGCATACCGTTCACGACGTCGTCTCCAGACTCTATGCCTGCCGTCCGCGAATCTGAGGGTAAACCTGGATTCATCGCTAAAGACGACTCGATTCCAGTCTCTCTGGGTCCATCGGAGGTGACGTTGGGCCCACAGCAGACATTGACGTTGATGAAACGGCGTCAATATTGGCCCACGATATGGACGTCGAGAATGGAGATAGGCAGCCCGCAACCGATTTTGAATGGTCTGTGAGGACAGTCGACCTCTAAACATCTCAGCCCTGGTTCGTGTAGCCGGCAGAAATCTGTCACGTAGGTGACGTAGGACGATTTGACTGTCTTCTGCTCGTGACGTCACACGTGGACGACCCGACCTTAGGCGATCAGAAGTGGTGCCTGTTTGTTGTAGACGACCTCGCAAGTCATACACAGAACGACGGCTGCATCCCATTAGTCTTGCGACGTCAATAACTGATCTTCCTGCTTGCAACATGCCAACGGCACGTTCACGTTGCACATTTGACATTCTTGGCATTTCAAGTACCGTTAGAACTGTGGTTTAAAAGTGTTTTTCAATTCTTGAGGCCAATGTAAACACGTGCATATGAAGAAAACTTCGATGCGAAGATCACGTGATCGACTGCACGTGCAAAACCTGATTTGGCACGAACGTCATTTGCACGACGAATGGATGGGCTTGAGTGGGTTTTGCTAACGTTTTTCTAGAGTCGAAAGATAGGGATCCCATTTCGGATACATAGATGTATCATCAGAGAAAAATTATTCATTATTTTTCAAATTACATTTTGTGAAGTTTCTAGTTTGACTCAGTATATAGTTAAACTCGCAAAGTGTCTATCATATTTTCAGCAACCACTGACTAGACCTTGACATGCCAAGGTATATCCCATCCGCAAGCAGTAACATTCATTTAGACATTTGACTTTCATAAGCTATACAACATGTGGCCCTTTGGAACTTATGGTTGTAAGTGGGTATTGCTGGGCAAGCCCATGCAATACTGAAAACGCGGTATGACTGAATATTGTCACATACATGCCCAATGCGCGAGAAGAGGTCATGTCAATTACAGTGCAAAATATGCGGCATAAGAGTCAAAGGTCATTATGGCTTGTGTAAAGCACATGGGGCTGACAAAGCAAGAATGAAACCCATCAAAAGGCAGACAGATTTTATCAGTGAATGTAGGAGGCTCAGGAAGATTAACGTGTAAAACAAATTCATATAGTATACAATCAATTAGCGAAACAGCTTTCATATGGTATTCAACCATGTCTACCGTCGGGGAACTGAAAGCGTTGGATAAGAGTGAGTGAGTTAAAATTTAAAGTCACATCGGCAATATTTCAGCCATATCGTGACTAAAACTAGGTCTAAATGTATAATACATACAGGTAATATATATAAAACCCTGTCAACAAAGGACAGGGTTGGCTAAGAAGCGTAGTGTGATTGGTTATTCTCGCATGAGGAAAGCCGAATTGCTCACCTTGCTCGACATGAACTATGACAAGCCCCCAAATGTACGAGAGCTGAAAGGTCGAGCTAAAGAACGTTGATTGACTGGTTATTCTCGCATGAGAAAAGCCGAGCTGATCGAACTCCTTGAAGACACCGAGTCGGTTGAGTTGAGATTCGTGCCGATGGACCATGCGGTGGGTAAGTATCTCCGAGGTTGGAAAATGGTGGTCGATTCTAATATCGATACCGATAAAATCAAACCCTTAATCGACAATAATCTTCGCGAAGAATTAATTAAACGATTTGAAATGCATCAAATACCCTTTAAAATGTCGCTCCAAAACCTCTGTCGGACGGCAGTACCGAGTCCATCATGCCCTATTTCAGAGGCAAACAGGAAGTCCACATGGGCTCTGGATGGGTGGTAGACAAAATCAACACCGTTTATCTCGACATACCGAACTACATGCCGCTCAGAGGTGGATTACATACCGGTGCCCAAGCATTTCAGAGATAAAAGGCCCTCGTTAACCCCGAAACCAAAGGCGATGATGTTAATAATTATTGCCATGGGCACAATGTGTTAAGCCCATTTCTGGTGTCCCCGCCGTGATATTGCTGGAATATTGCTAAAAGCGGCGTAAAACTAAACTCAGTCAGTCAGTAATAATTATTGCGCGGTGGTGGCGGTCATAGCACGAACCGACGGGCAATCCGTGCAGGCGTTCCAGCTATCCCACGCTAGAAGCATCCGCGTTGGACCAGATTCGAAAACAAAACAAGACGGCTGTCAACGTGTTCGGCCACGAAGGCGACAAAACCATCGTGCACAGGATAAGCTCTGTGAGTGATAAAACCGTGCGCAGAATCAATTTATTCCTCGTTGAAAAGGCGACCAGTATCACTACACGGCGATTAAAAGCCTGAGCCGATTGTTGTACGACCAATCCAAACACGCCAGAAAGAAACATTTCTGCGAATGGTGCCTGCATGGGTATTCTAGCGCTGATTTATTAGAATCGCACCGTGAGGATTGCCGAGGCGTGGGAGAGACGACGATCAGAATCGATATTCCTCAAGAAAATTAAAACATCTTAAAATTCATCAACCACAAACATCAAATGCCTGTGCCCTACGTCATCTACGCCGACTTCGAAGCTCTCATCAAACAGGTGAACACCGTCGCGCCATCCCTGGAAAAAAGTTTCACGTACAAAACGCAAGAACACCAAGCCTGCGGGTTCGGGAAAAACTGAACCACCGGTGATTTACCGAGGTCCTGGCGCGGCCAAAACGTTTCTCACGTTTTACAACGCGAAGAGAGAAACATCGGGGAAGCTTGTCGGATCGGTGAGAGATCATTGTCACATCACCGGTCGATACCGAGGTGTCGCTCACAACGCGTGCAACTTAAAACTTAGAATCGATCCCCCAAAATCAAAATCCCGTGGTCTTCCCCAATTTGAGAGGGTACGATGCTCACTTGATCATGTAGGCCATCTCGAAGGTCGATGGCGATATCAAATGCATCCCAAACAAACATGGAGAAATATATCTCCTTCTCGCTCAACGGTCTGAGATTTATCGATAGTGCTCAGTGTCGTCGCTCGACAGTTTGGTCAAGGCCAACGATACCTTCGCCATCACCCATCGATACACCAATGAGGCGACTCGACCTCTGCTGCTCAAAAGGGCGTGTACCCGTACGAGTACATGGACGATTGGATCAAGTTCGACGAAACCCGATTACCCCCTCGACCGATTTTACAGCAACTTAACCGAATCCTATACCTGTCTACATTAAGTGATCGCAATTTTCGCAGAAAGAAAAGCCTCTGTTGTGCTATCCTATGTACACGATGTGAATTTGATTTCCATGAAGGTTTATTATCAATGATAGTACCCAGATATTTATACTCTTCTACTCTTTCTACTTCCGGTCGATCAATACAAACAGGTTTCAGTTTGTTTTTTTCCGCTTCGGAAGTCAATTATCATTTCATTTGTTTGATTTATGTTCAGGGAGAGGAAATTGTCTTTGCACCATGAAGTAAACGCATCAATATTTTCCTATACTCTAACCCGATTGACGAATAAACCCAATCAAAGCGGCATCATCAGCAAATTTGAAATTCAAACAGATGGATAAATGAGATATACAGTCATTTGTATAGAGAGTGAAGAGGACAGGGGACAGGACGCAGCCTTGGGGAGTACCGGTACTCACAAGATTAAAGTCAGAAAGCGTTGAATTGACCCGAACACGTTGAGGTCGGTTATTTAAGAAGGCCTCTACCCACTTTGATTATGTTACTATTATTCATGCATTCGGAAAACTTCGTACTTTCGGCAATCTTCGGATATTTCCGTTTTTCACACCGGAAGTCATTCGTTTGTTGTTGAATGGCGACCCCAACAACGAACAATGTATTGTGGTGCCAAATACTAGGAAACAACTTCAGTATGGCAGCATTTGGGGTTGAAAAAGTTCACGGTAGATGGAACTATTAATAAGTGTAAAGCGATATGTGATGTGTATTGAAGTGAAATTCTCAGGCGGGACGATTAAAAGTTTTTATTCAAGCTTAATCCAGCATAGTGATTTTGTTCTGTTTTTTGCTTTACAATCAATCATTAACTCGATTATACGTAGTTTCTGGTTAGAGAAAACCTCCTTGCAATATATTGCAATACATATCTCAATATATGCTTTCGCATCGCAATATATCACAATATGAAAATTCTCTGCAATACCCACCCCTACCAGAAACGAACACTCCATAACATGTAGGAATCATTGCAACATCCAGGAGTAAGATTACAAAAATCCACGCTATTAATTTTCAGGTTTTCTGGCCGAATCGGGCCTCAGATCAAAGTTACACCCCTTTACTTTTACCTTTGACCCGGAAACGAAAAAGGAGAATATAGTGCCTTGTTTAAATGGGCTGTTCTGTCTGTGCTAATTTTTTCAGGGCGATTTGTGGTAGCTTAAATGAAAGGTGAGACATTGTACTTTATTGCAAAATTTATTGGTCCACAATCTGCACATGGTATTGACACCAGCCTTCCATGATTTGACCCCAAGTTCATAGTTGTTTAGTGTGTTTCGGGCTCGAAACCTCCGGTGGCCATTGTTGACAGTGTATACAGCAATGAGATGTCGACCAAGGCCAATATTTTGCTTTTTAGTGGCAAGAGGCAGGTTGGTCAGCATGCATCAGGAGAACAGCCTACGACCGATATTAATTATGGTGGACTGGCATGTAACTGTAGATAGCCAATAAGAAAAATAACTGTGGTCTGGGTATCATCCAATTTAGACACACAAAATCGACCGGTAACGAGGAAACAAAGTTAGTTATATCAAAGGCGACCTTACATCCTCAATTATGCACATAAATATATATATTTATGGCAGTAAAAAGTTTTATATTTATTAATTTGGCTCAATGAATACTTTAAAAGGCTTCCGCATATTTAGGAAAGCTGTTATCACGATATTCACCTTTTTTCTTCATTCCCGGGAGGAAGTGTTTGATGAGGAGAAAGGGTGACGTCACAGACACCGCCATGACGTCATTCCACTTGTCAAGAGGTAGCTCCTCTACCGGCGCGTTGTAGATAGTTCCTGCAAGATGGCAATATGATTTGGGATATTCTAAAGAAAGTAGCTGTGGTAATAAGGTAACATTCAATACATTTCCTTAACATTACACAGACTAGACTTGACAGCGGCCTTGAGACAAAGGAACACTAATCGAGTCAACCGATATTGTGAGTAAGTGAGTGAATTTAGTTTTACGCCGCTTTTAGCAGCATTGCAGCGTCAATAGAACAGTGCATCAGTTAGCCCTTAATGAGGATTGTTAATTTAGGTCACCGACCCCGTCGCTATTATTAAATTTGGCATCTTAGAAAAGAAATACAGTTCGCTCTTCCCCGATGTATAGTGGAATAAAGTACACTTTTGCCCTGAACTATTATAGTTCTCGTGCTTTAACTATAATAGTTAATTGATGAAGTAATGCAAAAGTGTACATTATCGTCTGATAAAGAACTGTCGGCGACTTTGATCTTTCACCGAAGCACCAAACCGAAACATGAGTCTCATTCACCTATTCAGACAATGACTTATTTTTCAGCCGATCCGAATTTTCTCGTGTGAAAGTGAAAACAGACATCACAAACAACTATGGTTACACTGAATTTCAATTCCTGGTTTCATAAGAAAATGGTATTTACACATGAATTTCAATTGTTAACTTTAATAACATCGTAGTTCTATATTTTATGGCGAAGTGTAGGCAGCATGACCTTAACTAAGACGTCACAGACTGCCACAGATGAGGTCGTAAAATGATATCACAGAATCCCTGCACCGACTCGGCCATCCTGAGATCGACTGGGACAAAGTCTACTCTGCTTGTGTACTTACTGAAAGAGGCCAAACTTTGCATATACTGATCAAAAAATATTATATTTAAAGAAGTAAAGGACCGTGTAATTCTCTCATAATGCGATAGTTAGTGTGTAATGAAATGAAAGAATACCAGTAGCAGTATGAAACAGTCAGATGTTCCTTCATGCATTTTGCGTAGTGTTTAAGATCCGTTTAAGATCCGTGAAGATCTGGCTTAGTATTAGTTTTCAGCAACCTATGGTTGTGGTAACGGGATCGCATAGTCAGATTCGCTAACTTGGCTGACACATGTCATCTTTTCCCAGTTGCGTAGAACTATGTTCATGCTGTTGATCACTGGATTATCTGGTCCAGAATTGACTTTTTACAGACTGCCGCCATATAGCTGGAATATTGCTGAGTGTGGCATCATCTGAAATGATTACACATTCGTATGAACGTTTCTCATAATTTGAATAATGATATTTTGTTAACTTTGATATATAAAGACATTTTGATAACTTGTATAATATTTATACAATTTTTTAAGCGATGCTGTGTGTAAATTCTGGAGATTTTTATTCACCTTTTGAAATCGTTGACAATAGAGTCTATCAACTCTTGACTACCTAGTCCAGTAAGAATTATCGAACATCCTTTCGCTGCAAGCTGATTGGCTATGCCTAAGCCGAACCCGGATGTTGACCCGGTTACCAGCGCAACCTTGCCTTCCATGACTCCAAAAGTTCTGCATACGAAACAAGTATTGTGTGAGTATTTTGAGTTGGCATCTTATTCATTTCAAACAACGGACCAAAGGATGAAGAAAAGAACAGTATGCTACTTGCAAGATAACCGCTCCGGTTCTTAGTTAAGTGCCATGAGATTAGAATAAATCTCCTTTAACCAATGCGTGTCAAAAGAGACGACTAAATGGATCGAATGATCGGACTCAATTAAATGATTGTGTGGCTGACACACATGCTGACATCATGGAGCATTGTTTATAATATCACTGATCGGATTGACCTCAATACTTACAGACCATTAAGAATATATACTGAACAACATTAGAAACGCACCACACTAAAATGCACCGACGATGCTCAGATATCATGGGTACATTTCAGTCTGAAGGGGATATTTCATATTATATGGGTGGTGCGTTTTTAATGTTGTTCAGTATAGTTGTAGCTGGAGTGTCACTTTGAGTGAGTGAGTGGGTTTGGCTTACGCCCCACCCCACCCCTTTGCTGTGTGTGTGTGTGTGCCTGCGCGTGCGTGTGTGCGTGTGAGTGTGCGTGCGTGCGTGCGTGTGAGTGAGTGTGTGTGTGGAGGGGGTGCACTCTGTCTGTGTTCGTCTCTCTCTCTCTCTATCTCACTCTCCTCTCTCTATCTCTCTCTCTCTGTCTTCTAATATCAACCAGCCGATCACATTTGTCAGCTCTTACGACCACGGGGAAAAAGTAGACAAAACGAAAAAACGGTGTAGCAAAAATAAGCAATTATGAGTCAGTGGTTCCATCCCTGGCGGCATCATACCAATACACTTTTAGAAATGGGACTTGATGTTACCAGTCCTGGTGTCCGCCATTTTGGTGCTAAGATAACGACTGTTCGGCTCTGTGTCCCTGTACTGTGTTTGAGGGGGCTAGCACTATAACAACAGCACAAGTACAGACTTGTAAAACAGGTGCACTCACGTGCATGCACGTCTTGATATTAAAATAATGAAGTTGAAAGGGACGTGAATTATGTACCTCACCTTCACACATGAAGCATCGTGGACAATCAAGAACAGCGTGCCAGGGAAAATCACCCATCCTTCGTCACTCGCAGAAAGAAGGTTCACGAATCCCCTTAAATATTACTGAGACTTATAGTTAACGAAACACGTACCGTGTTGGCGAAATAACTGCAAAATGGATGTATTCCTCCCACAGTCAAAACGTGCCACCAAAATCAGGCCTTCAGCAAGATAGCGCCCTGACCTTTGATATCTTTGTCCGACTTTCTCCCATACAAATTGTTCTATATGTAAATACAAGTATTTAACGGTTCGCTTGTACAAACAACGTGCCTCATTTGCGTATATATTTACATATATTACTTCGAAAATGCAAGCGTTTTATCATTTCAACTGTAACGGAGATGAAATCTATCATCAAAAATTTAATTTTACTCCTGTACCGACAAGGTGGTATTTTAGCCTTGTATATTGGTGTATAGCGTTGCTCACAAAATTCATCTTGTTTACTACTATTACAATTAGTCGTCTGTCTATCCCTCTTGCAAGTGCATCACTGCGATAGTTTAATCAGGTTATAGGGAAGGCTCATTCTGGTTTTACGGGTAGTCAGGTTATACCATTTACGCGTCATTGTTTGACAGAATTACTGAAAAGCTCTTTGTCTTGAATTGACGATTTTGAATACATATGCCACAGCCGTGACCATGCATTTCAGTACAGATAAATACGGCCCCAGTTCTCAGGATTTTATCATGGGTTATCAAAACGTAGTCTGTTGTCTGAACGTGTATTGTCATGAGCAAGTGCACGGAACAGTTGTCGGTAATATACTATTTGTGACGCCGTAAACACTGGTTTCCTGAATGCGGATTTTATTGACGTGTTTGGTTATTGCAGAGAACATATATTAATAAACCTTTATTATATGGTATCTGGTTATTGTGATGAGTGCGTGTGTACTGTTTCAGTGTGAATGCAATTTGTGAACTTGATCTGTATGTTTAATATTATTAATAATCAGGAGTGTTACATTATAAAGCTATTGAGGAAACGTATATATTGTCTGCATTGTGTATTCGTGATCAACTAATTGTTTCACAGCATACAATGTAATGTGCCGAATAAGCTTATTGCACATACATTGGAGTGAGTGAGGTGGAGTTATGCTTGTCGAAAGCGGCGACTAACGGGATCGGGTGGTCAGGCTCGCTGACTTGGTTGACACATGTCATCGGTTCCCAATTGCGCACATCGTTGCTCATGCTGTTGATCACTAGAGAGTCTGGTCCAGACTCGATTAGTTACAGACCGCCATATAGCTTGAATATTGCTGAGTGCGGCATAAAACTCAACTCACTCACACTGACTCACTCACTCTTAATGAGCAGACCACAAGAGACTCTGACGTGATTCAGTTATAATGGAATAGAAATAGTACAAATAATTATCAATGACTTCTTCCGTGTCCGATATCTTGTTATTCATGAACAGGATACAGAACAGAACGACCGACTCCGTGGTGCGGAAGGTTGCGGATTCGATCCCCGACCGCGTCATACCAAAAGACGTTAAAATATGGTACTTGTTGGTCCCTTTCTGGCGCTCGGCATTAATGGGTACAACAAGGACTGGTCGGCTCGGAGTCAGTATAATGTGTCTGAGTGGGGTATTCATGCTTCACTGCGGCATGGTATCTCAGTGGGCTAGCACTATAAAACCAGCTTCAGTCTAGGCTACAGTCCGTTTGAGTCAGAAACGGACTGATGAATTGCAAATTTTATCATTGTACAAAATTGCCACATAAATATAAATAGTACACATGTTTATTATTTACTAATACCCAACCGCATTCTGGTATTTGAAAATTTTCCGGACTCACCAAAAAAGTTGTTAAAGAAACTATCATCACTGAATACGCAAAAGCTGTTACCTGTCGCGGCGGGGTGAAACCGCAGAAACGGAACAGCCAGTCATGGCGGGGGACACCTCAAAATCTATCCCGGTTCCTCGTCTGTCGTAGTGTCATAGTCACGACTTAAAGGGATGACAGGTGGTGCCACAGTTGCCTGTTGTAAGCCATCCCGAGACCAGTAACCTTGTTCAATGACGTTAGCTACCTTGTTGACACAGTTTTGCCAAGTTTCAGGCGTGATTTTGTTAAGGGATTCCTAAACCAAAACCTCTACGTCACGTAATCGAAAAGTTGTGTTTGATCTGGCAACATTTCCTTCGACAATACCCCATATCATTTCAGTGGGGTTAAGGTCACAGTGATAGGGTGGAAGTCGCAGAATATCGTGCCCCTTAATATTTATGCAACTGTCAACTTTGTAGAAAGATTCACCTTTGTGGGGTTTTATGATCTCATATAGCTGAGGCTTCGTTGCCTTTGAAGGGCGTGCGATCTGAAATTTGTCGAGCCATGATATCATATCACCTTTTCGACTGTTCGATGTCGGGGATTTACTGTCGGGGTCCTACACGCTGTGGTATGGGCCATTGTCCATTACGATAAAAGACTTCTCTGGTAGAGCTGGTACCAACTTGTTTTTAACCCAATCGAGGAAAACCGCACCATTCATCTCGGAATGGTAGTCTCTGATATCTGTGGACTTTGCCCTGAATACCAAGTCGCAGCCTGGGAGAAAGCCTTTGGTGGAGCAACCAGCATGGAGAATGATTAGTCTCTCTCCTTTCCCTAGAGGCAGCTTTCTACGTGATCCCTTATCAGCCCCATCGGGTACCCACTGACTGCTGGCAGTGTGCGAGTCATTGACCCAGATCTCGTCCAAGTACACTGGCTCGAACCCTTCCTCGCGCTTCTTCTTTATAACCCTGAGAAAATTATTTCTCAAGCGAACGATATCAGGGCGTTCACAGAGTACTGACCTGTTCTCCCCCGAAATTTTCTTATAACGATACCCGAAAGAGTGTAAGAGTCGCGAGAGTGTGTACTTTGATACTCTGAGGTTGTGTTCTTGCTTCAAATGCTTGTTTAAAATTTTCAGCGACATGTATTGGTTTTCAGAATAGAACTTGTTGATAGAGGATCTTTTGAAAGTTGTCCAAATGTTTTAATTTGTGTGATTTTGACACGACCCCTACCTGCTTCGCATCACCCTCACAATGTTTGTGTTCAAGACCATTTGTCAGTACCCTTGCTGATACTCCTAAAGCTTTTGCTGCCCGCTTACGGAATGTATTAATGGCATAAAATGGTTTGCCCCTTTCGGCTTCAGCACAGAAAAAATCGTACACTTTAATCATCAACTGTTTCACGTCAGCATTCAACTTCATTTTTCATCAGGCATGTGTATCCCGTGCACGACGAGATAGTGGCTGTTCCGTTTCTGCGGTTTCACCCAACCGCGACAGATAACAACTTTTGCGTTTTCAATGATGATAGTTTCTTAAACAACTTTTTAGGTGAGTCCGGAAAATTTTCAAATATCAGAATGCTGTTGGGTATTAGTAAATGATAAACATGTGTACTATTTATATTTATGTGGCAATTTTGTACAATGATAAAATTTGCAATTCATCAGTCCGTTTCTGACTCAAACGGACTGTAGTACAAGCAGCCGCACATACACATACACACGCATGTCGTCATATGAGCGAAATATTCTCAAGCACGACGTTAAACCCAATTCCACCACCACCACCACAGAACAGAAAAAACTTTTATTACGCCAACTACTGTCAGAGATCACAATAGTGATAGGGATGTATTTCTAGTTGTTTTACAAGGTACTAACTACCATAACAAATATCACTCCAATGTCTATTTGAAAGGTATGGAATATGATACAGAAAATCAAAGGCAAAGGGTCTAAGTGTAGTGTCTAGCATCTTAAGGACGGTGACAATGTTATAACAGACAAAGGTCAAATTGCGAATAAATTAGGCGAAACTTTAGCGAGACATTCTTCATCATCCAACTACACACCAAATTTTCAGAAATTAAAAGAACGGGAAGAAAAAAAGAATTTTATTTTAATTCAGATAATGGTGAAGAATAAGGTATTTTTAATGATGGTTCAAACACATATCTTCATCCTGCAACTGGTTCATACTCTTCTCTGGACTTATCTGTAGTTGATTCCAATGTATATTATGAGTTTGAATGGTCAGTCCATGACGACCTTTCTTGGAGTGACCATTTCCCCACTCTTCTCTCAGCCAGAAACCCCACTGATGGTCCACCATTAGCACGGTGGAACTTTACAAAGGCCGACTGGTCTTTATTTCATGCCTTATGTTGTGAAAGATTAAAACCTGAATTATTTATGAATGAACTTAATCCTATTCAAGTATTTTCTGATGAATTAAACATAATTGCTGATGAGTGTATTCCAAAGTCCTCTGTGGTACCGGATATACGTAAACCATGGTTTAACGTTGATTGCAAACAAGCTAGAAAAGCAAGGAAGAAGGCGGGAAAATATTTCCGCCGCCATCCAACAGTTCACAACCTAAATCAGTTTAAAATTTTGAATGCTAAGGCTTGCCGTACGTTTAAACAAAATAAACGACAGTCCGTAAATCATTGACTGATAAGAAATCTTCAAGTATCTTTCCTTTTGTATTGGTGTTGTTACTACCCCAAAGTGGGTTATGACCATTGAAATCCCCCATGATAACGCAAGGTTTGGGGAGTTGGTCATAGAGCGCCAGAAGATCAGACTGCCGTATAGAGGATGATGGCGGGATATAAATTGAACATAAATTAAAAACGATGTGTAGTGTTAATCGGACAGCAACAGCCTGCAGGGGGGTATGAAGCGAAATAGGACTGTGAATTGTGCCCTGACTCACCAGAATAGATGATCCTCCAGTAGCTTTATCACCTGGGGGAGAAAAACAGTGATAGGAAACGATCTTCTCAAATCGAATTTATCTGTGGATTTCAGCTATATTTCTTGTAAACATAGTGCTGATGATTTTAAATCTTGAATCAAAAGCTGTAAATCGTTGAAATTGTTTCTGAGTCCTCTGCAGTTCCACTGTACTATGTGCGAAGACATTATCTTTTCGGGGGATTAACTGGGGATCTACCCCGCCCTTTGTTTGAGGGCGACAAGCTTTGTCCTCTGATTATTGTTGTCAGACACATACTGTATGTCTTCAAGGGATCCGTATTTATTATACAACTGGATCTTGTTATTGGATCTTTTTGACACCCTGCCACTTGGAGGTTTTTTGGACAATTCTGTCCTTGGTTTGCTTTTGCCTGTTGACAATTGTTGTACATTTATTTCTGCGTGTGTGTTTTGAGATGATGGCTGATCTTCCGAAATGATTGTTTGTGAAGAAGTAGTTGCAACAGTTGTTGAATTAGGAGACAGCTGA